CTATTGATTCACCTCAGCGAAATGTTATGTTACAACCAGAATCATTGTGGAATTTGAATGATGGAACATTCAATTGAGGGGCTTAAATTGAATTGGATATTTTCTTTACTGTACAACTTGTGGCCAAATTTCTATTTTCATTAAAATATATGAAGCATCATGACAACTCGTGTTAAACCTGCAACAAATTATTAATTACACTTGGGATTTCAGTAACAAATTTTATAACATAGGAGCCTTGTGAGATGCCTAAAATATTAAGAATCAGAAAGAATACCTCAAACTTTTCTGTTCTTGGCAATTAATATTTTTAAAAAATCTATTTTACTTTGAAATCCAGTTGCTAAAAAGAAAACAACAGCAGAAAAACTGCCCCCTGAAAAAATCAGAATATCCAATCATAAATTTGTTTTTTTTTGCTCTGTAAAGGGGAAGGATGGGGAGGAAAATAGAAAGCTCATGGCTAGAGTCAGAAGTCAAAACGAAGTCATCATTTATCCAAATGACACTCAGCTGCTAAAAAAAGTCATACTTTCAGAGCTGTTGAAGAGAGAGTAAGCCAGGATGTTTCCAGAACATATTTCAGGCAAGTCTGACAGAAGCTCGTCACAAACCACTTAACTCTCCGTGTGCCCTGAGCCCATGACCCCAAGGCTTGGCAGCTTCATTCTTCACGGCACCAAACCTTGATGTGAGGGATGCAAAGACACACTCATAAGAATCGTGGGTTTGTCCTTCCTCAAAATTTGGGGAACTGGCTGGAAAAACAAAACAAAACAAAATAAGGAAACCTTCTCCCTAAGTGAAAGGGATTCTGTGGTAACTGCCAATTAAGTCAACATATAAAATACGTAAAAGGTCAAATGTTAAAATAAGATCAAACTAAATTGTAAAGAGAACCAAATGACTTTTTACCTCTGTAAAGAAAAGACACTGAGTGCCCCACTGTCTCTTTATGTTGAGGGATTTGTGTATTTCTTGCTGTGGGCAGTTTAGCAGTAAAGGACGCGATGGTGGGGCTGTGCGGAGACTCTCCAAGTGAGGCTGGCAGGGGCCCGGCAACCGCCGCAGGCCTAGCGCGGGTGTGATCAGGGAGCCCAGGTACAGTGCCGACGAGACCCCCGGGCTTCCCGCGTGGTGCACGCATGGCAGCCTCATCCTGGGCTCGCCAGAGACCCTCCCAATGGTTTCCACGTTGTGTTTCTGTCATGTGGATGAGCTACACTGAAAGTCAAATCCTTCCCTGTGATTCAGTTTTGCCATTTTTCAAAGACACCATCAGACTTGGTGGCAAGGGTGTTTAAAAGAAAGCACTTCTATTTTTCAACTTTTTTTTTTTTAAAGGTAAATGAAGTTTGCTTTTCCTTGGATAGGGACCCTTCCTCCCACCCTTACCCCTTCTGACTGCTGCAAAAAGCTTAGTTCGAGGAAAGTGAAGACGAATGAATGAAATAATGCCAGAGCTGGCTGTTGCCAGGAAAAGCACACTCTGATTCAGTTAATTTGTTCTGTTAATGGCAAAGGCTGTGATTCGCAATTAGCTTATTTTAAGAAGCTGTAATGAAAAGAGCTACATCAGCCGTAAGGTCAGTGTTTGATGAAGATTATTAGGCTTTTCGAGTTAAGAAAACAGGGCCCCTCAAGAGGCGGGGATGTCTGTTTAAGATCATCTTGCTAAACAATACACGACTGGCTGAGATTTTCAAACTGGGTTTAAGCCCCTTCAGAGAAGCTGAGAAGGAAAGGGGAGGGGGCCGTCCAAACATTCTGGCAATGGAAAATGTTCCACAAATCAGATTTGTGTACACTCAACTTACTAACTACAGAAACTTCCATATTGGTGATTCTCTTTGGGGTAGGGATGCTCGTCTAGCCCAGGTGGGATGAATTACAGCAGGCATGGAGTTTGCAATAGTTCCAGCTCCCTCACAGAAAGACTCCATGCACGTCAGTCAACCAGAGCCGCTTGAGCAGCTGAGAAAAGCTGAGCCCAAAAGAGGCGGACTCCCCCCGCCTCTCTCCTTCCTCTTCCTTTACATTGGAATGGGAAGATATAATAATATACTTTCTTAAAAGGCAGAACTCTCATGGTTTCTGTACAACTGCAAATGCTTTCATTGCATTTGAATAGGGTTAAAATAAAAGTATATGTGCTCTTAAAAGTCAAGATCATAACTCGCTAATGAAGTCGCAAATTATCCAGAAGAAAACCATGCATGGGCACATGCTGAACGGCAGAATCTTTTGCCTCTAAAATTTCAGTTATTGCCTTTGTAATATTAAAGCCCAACAGGGAACCGGCGGGACACCGCTTGTGCCCTCTTGTCATGTTATGAGTTTCTGGTTTCAGATAAAAGAGGAGAAAGGGCCCTTATGAAAGCAAAGAACTGGAAAAAAAAATCAAACTTCCTTCTCGGAAAGCTAAGGGTTGTTTTCCTGGAGATGATGGATAATGACACTTCAACGTTTTTTAAATTTTTAATAGAGAAAATGGAGGCAAATTATGGAGGGAAAAGAGCACATATAAATAAATAGAACAAGATGAAGTTTTGACAAAAGCTTGCCTCAATTTCTTTCTTTTTTTTTTTCTTTCTATCTTTGTCTCTCTTTTTCTTTCATTTTTTGAAATCTTAAACCCCATTTCTGGCTTGCATTTGGTAGGATTCCTGCTCTGGCTTTTATTAAAAACAGACTTTATGTGGTCAGAATTCTCCATCTAAACCTAAAATTTAATAGGCATAAGGATCCTGACACAGTCTCTTGCTCAGTCTCAGGTGACCCCCCTCCTGCCCCCACCCTCACGGGATTTCCCTCCCAATGAGCTGAACTGTCGCTGAAACTCAAAGGTTCAGCACAAACCAACCAACTTTCCTCTTTGACTGTGAACTCTCATTCCTGGTTTACATTTGAGACTCTTTGCAAGGCCAGATTAAGTTAAACCTGACTCTAAATTGAGAATATTCTAGAAATTTTGAACAACACAAACGTTGTCCTATAAATTTCCCAAGGTAGATGCATTAAGCCCAGTGGCTCCCTTCTCCAGCATGAGCTACCAATTCCTGCCAACTTCCTTCTGTGTGCAAGCTCGGCAATACCAAAGGCAACTCCACCTCACTGAACAAATGAACATAGAATTGGACAGCATCTCTGAAGGGTACTGGCAAGAAGAGGTAAAGCAGCCAAGCGGGCAGGCAGAGACATGCACGTTCACTCCTGAGGACAGGCACCACCAGGTTGCTCTGGTTCTTTCTTACAGCTGAACAGACAAAATAGCTGACTTGAAGGCTCCTGTATGGGACCCCCACTCCCCACTCTCAATGCCCCTTCCCCAGTGGCCTCCATACCTTCCTGGCACAGTGGCCTCCATATCATCCTGAAATGCAGAGGACAGGGCCTCTCCACCCCTGCCCAAAAGTATCAGTAATGCCAAAGTTGAGAAACCATGGTATTGCGACTGGGGCCTAGGCTCTGAGTCAGACTGCTTGGGATTAGAGCCCTGCTCCACTAGGGCCTGGTTGAGCAGATGTGGGCAAATTGCTTAACCTCTGTGGAAACTGATAACAACCCACCTCGTTGGGTTGTTGTGAGTAGTAAACAAAAATAGATCTGCAAAGCCCTTAGGACAGTGCCTAGCATACACTGAGAGTACAATAAATATTAGCTATTGTTTTTACTATTATTACTAGAAATTTAGCTCAGTTCCAAATAGATTATAAGCCAAACCTATTGAGTTTAGAGAAAAAATAAATCAGTTTGAGAGTACGTATATCCTCTTTGATTAGGACCAAAATGGTGATTACCCGACCAATCACTGTGCTTCACAATTTTTCAGACACTTTCGAATGCCTCATCTCATATGATCTGAGCAACGACCTTGTTGAATTTGTCCCTATTTCACAGACAAGGAATTCCTGGCCCAGAGTTGAATGAGTGCCTGAGGTTTGAGGCAAACCAGGTCTTCCCGAGCTACATCCCCTGCTATTCCTGCTGTACCACCCTTCGTTAACTGGTTTAAGGTCGCCCTTCTCTTCATTACTCCCGACAGCCTGAAGATCAAAATATATGTAAGCACCGTAATCAGAGGGCAAGGTGACTCAGGCTTCAGGCACTTCTCTTTTATGGCACATGCATAGTTAAGATTTTCCTTTAGGGAGCAGCCAAATATTTTCATACTCTGAACTGAGTTTTTAAAAAATTTACTTTCTGTATAGGATAATTTTCTTTCCCTTGAAAATTTTTCATGTTGAGAAAAAACCCAATTTCTTTCATTTTCAAAATATCTTCTTTATATACATTGTACATATTTTGAGGTGAATGTATGAAAGTGAGAATAGAGCATCAACTCTATACATGTTTGAAGTTTTATTTATTTATTAGTTATTTTGTTTCATTTATAAGCCTGAAAATCTGCTTTTCAAATGTATCATTCAAATGCACAATGTTCTATGTCATAGATGTTAGTGGCTACACAGCAATCATTATGTCTGTGTTAAAATTTCTATGCATAATGTTTAACAAACAACTGCAGGTTAATCAGCCAGATTTTTACTCAGCCTACATTTAATATCAGGTTTAGGGGTCATAGTTCAGAGATCATGGATAATATTCCTTGAAGTCAGTGGTTTTCTAGAATTCCTTCCCTACTAGAGAAGGCAAGGCCCTGGTCTGCGATACTCTCATGACCTATGGAGCACCCAACCATGGCTCCTTCCTTTGAAAATGGTCACACTCTACAGCTTCAGCTGCTGAAATGTCACTCATTCGGGCCCAGTTTCTTTGGTCCCATTTAGTTTGTGCCTGTTGGTAAAGGAGAGGCTTGGACCACATACTGGTCTTTACAGGGTGTCGCTGGCTCAGCAATTTTCTCACGATTCCCCTCCCGGGTGAGAACAGCAAATGTGTTTGGTAAAATCTTGGCGGTTTTCTTTCCCAAATTTTGTCTGTCATGCTCTGAGAAGAGAACCACAGAGCCCGGGTCTCGCCACGTGCAGCCTGCTTACCTGGGGACGCTGGGCGGAGCCCTGGCTGGCCGGGACGGGACCTGCGGAGGCGCCCCAAACGCATCACTGCCACTGGGGAACGGAGGTAACGGGCCAGGCCGGAAGGGCACTGGGGGCGCCCCTGCGTGGGGTCCTGGTGAGGGGGCGGCAGGTGCAGGTCCCCGGCCAGGCGTGGGCCGTGGGGGCACGGTGCTCAGGGTGGGCCTCCGCTGTGTGGTGGGGCTTGGAGGGGGTGACCTGGTGGCGAGACCAAAGCAGTTTGCTCACTGCTGCTCCATCTGATTTTGGCCCTAAAAACACACCTTAGAGCTTCCTGACAGCTTTTTAACAACTATTTGCCTGAATTAGATCCATGTTATGAAAAATAGAGGGAATAAAAGGGGAAAGGGGCCAAGGACTGTTTCCTCATGCCTCACTCTGGACATGCTCAGTAGTAGTTTCTTATGTATCCTTTTAAACTACATTCTTTAACAGTTTCTCTCTCTAAAGATCCCTTTCTTGTACATAATAGAACAGGATGTTCTATAGCTTACTTTTTAAAAGCTGCTCATTAACTTGGCCATCCTTATTCCAGTACTATTGAACTGATGGCCTTTTTAATGGCTATGTAATACCCCATTGTAAGGCCCTATTGTGCTTGTTTTTTACGGGAGTTGGGACTACCTGACGGGCTGTCTCACTCCTGAACTTAAATATCATTTTGCCTCTTTTTTCTGTAGGTTCATCTTGGTTTAGGGAAGCACACTCAGGAAATGGTCCCAGACAGGCTCGGCAGGGCCCCTTTCCTACCTGCGGGAGTGCTGGATCCAGGAGTCATCCACAGGAGGCGGTGCGGGGGTGAACGTGGTGGCAGTGTTGATGTCGCCGATGATCACGAGGGCCTCTTTAAGGGCTTGGTACATTCGGAGCATCTCGTCCCTGCGCTGGGCCTGTTCAGCGGATTCCTCCATCAGAGTGTTTTGGTCCTCTGAAGAATATAGCTGTGCTAGGAGCTCTGAATTTATGAAATCTTTCACCTGTCAGGTCACAACAGAAAAGTAAAAATGGGAATGAATGAGTGATCGAAATGGTGCAAACTGGTTCAGACAAAGTCCACTGAAGTCCACTTTAGGGAAAGGGAAGTATCATCTGTCTGCCGACTCTTATTTTCTTCATTATCCCCCCAATCCTCAGTACTGGTGCTAGTATAACAGTTTTCCCTCTGTCTTACAGCTATTGACACTAAAGAAAAACATCTGTTATTAGTTGAAAAGGGCCAAATGCTGCCATCACCAGGACAGGGTCTGTTGGCCGTGCAAGCATTTCTGCAGGGCTGTCTGAGGCTGCCTGGCCTATTCGTGATGGAAGGTGCCAGGAGGTGGAAGCAGTACTTTCAGTACTTTGCAGATGCAATGACATAAAGACACCTGTGTAATAACACAAGTTACCCATTCCTATGCATTCCTGGTCCTTTACCTAGCTTTTTCCAAAATCTCCAGAATACTATTAAGGCCCCAGGTTTCAATGTGTCTAAAAATGGAATTAGGACAAATAAGTGAGTATTTATTTAATACAGAACCTTATATAATTGTGCAGGTTGATTTACCAAAAAAGTGAAAGATACGCTCCCTGCTTTCTAGAAGTTTACAATAGAAGTTACTTAACAGTGGTGAGGCAGTGTGAAGTCCCACAGGTAACAGACGTATAAAAACAAACTAAAATGTGACCAACATGAATGAGTCTTGGGGTAGGGTGTTTGGGAGCAGGATGGGAATGGAGGCACAATTATGCTGCCCAGCACTGAGCGCCAGAGCACCAGCCACCTGAGTTCATCAAATAAACCTAAGACACCACTGACCTTCAGGCACACCACTATAGTACATGCCACTAAGAAGGAAAAAACACCATCAATTACACTATGACAGAATGACGAGATGCCACTGAGTGTAACATGCATCTTCATGTCAGAAATACTAAATAGGAAAAAAATGAATATGAGAATCGATAACTATGATATGTTCCAAATGCCTTCAGAAGATCTGACTTAATTCTCACCACATATTAATGAGACACACATTATGCTGAGTTTACAGATGGAGAAACTGAAGTTCAGCAAGTATATGTAACTCACCCAAAGGCACGCAACATGAAGCTGAACCCAGAATCTTCTGACCTGAAGACCAGTGCACTTTCCATCATCTTTTACCCCACTTTGATTATGTGCTTAGAAAAGATGATTTATGTTTAAGTATTGTTACTTTAGAGTAGGGTAGAAAGTATGCGAATTACCTTAAGTCTTGAAAAATAAACCCACTTGGATTTTTCATTTCTCTGTTAAATGAGAATGCTAACACTTACCTAGGATCACTGGATCAAAGAAAGTCACAAGGCTGGTCTATTTAGTTGTTACAAGTTCAGGCAGACAATAGAATTTCTGGCTTGTAGTTAAACTTGTCACTCAGATATGACAAGAATACACAGCTTCATTACTTTTTAAAGGTGGGTGTCAAACCATGTAAAAAATGCTATTAATCAGAAAATTCAGCTAAATATCACAGCTTTTCTGTGGTGAAATGAGTGTTCTCTCCACATATTTTGTAAATCAAGAGTGATTCAAATGTGGAAATACTCTAATATACAAGATGAGTTCAAGTAACTGTCTGATGAAGTATGTTTATGTGACAGTTGTGGAAGGCCAATCAGCCAGGTAACCTGGGGCCAGATGTGAAAGCCTTGAATGCTAAGGGGAAGTGTTAGAACTTCAGGCAGTGGGAGCCATGGAGCTTTTCAAGTAAGTAAGTGAAACAATAGAGTTTTAGGAAAATTAATCTGGCTATGATTGGAAAAGAATTTGCAAGGGTGGTAGTGGAGATGAAGGAATCTGTTAGACGACTATTGTGGATGATTATGACATGCTAAAGGGCTTAATTTAGCAAGGTTGCAGTTCAATAGAAAAGATGGGCCCATATAATTGATATTATAAAGAAAAACCAGTTGGACTAGGTGCTGTTATGATGTGAAGAGCAAGGAAGAAAGGAACAAAGACACTTCAAGCCGTGAGGTTTGGATAAGTGGGAGTATAGAAAATCAAATGTCAAGAAGGAAAGTCAGAATTAGAGGAAAGACAATAAATTTAGCTTAAGGCATATTTCATTCCCCTCCTTGAAGATTTATTCACTTCTATACACACTTGCAGGTACCCAAGCAGTCACAGACATTTGCACAAATCTTCCACTGCTGGGTGAGTTGTATGCACTTGGATGGTGAAAATCAAAAGTTGGAAATAAGATAATTTTCCTGGCATTGACCATCAGTTGGGTTGAGCTCTTTTGAAGCTTTACATCTTATGGGAGTATCACTTAGGATCTATTAAACACAATTTAAACGAAGATCCTTCCAAGAACAGATTTAAAATAGATCTGAATTAAGAAGCAACTGTCAAACAAACCACAAAATAAAATAAGGGCCTATTTCAGCATTATGATCAAAGATCTACCTTGAATCAACTCTTCCATGTCAAAATGTTACACACTAAAACTTGCCTACTACCCAAAAGATTTGGCAACATTCTGAAATAATGTATTATCAGCATGAGAGAAAATGGCAGTATGGCACAGTGGTGAAGAGCATCTGCTTTGGAATCAGCTCTGAATCTGAATTCTAGTGCTTATTGTTTTTGGAAATAACATAACCTCTTTGAGTCTCAGGTTCCTGATCTGTACAATGGCGATAATTGTAGTAGCTGCCTCAAGAACTGTTGTGAGGATTAAGTGAAAGAACGAATATACTTCCTAGCATGATGCCTAGTATTTAGTTAGTGCTCTGCAAAGAATAGCTGTTCTTTTTATAGTAGAGAGGCTAAACTGGCATTAGGTACATGGAAGTTGGAGAGCAAATAGAAAGCTATTGCAATAGCACAGGCATCAAGTGACATGGTTCAATACAGAGTGTAGGCTAACATTTTATTTTGCATGTAAGCAAAATTTTAGGAAGACTCTTCTTCTCCTGCCAGCCTAGCTTTGTGATGCTACAATGGCAACGAAGGTGGGGGGACTTTGGGGAGTTCCCAGACATATCAGAGACTTTCTCAGCAGTTGTATGTCCACGGCACAAATATTTAAATCAAGGATTCTGCACAGCAATTAGAAGCCAAGTGGATCCCTTTTAGATGACAGCATCTAGAAAATGCCTCACAGAACATGACATAAACTAGTTATACTTGGATGTGAGATTAGAAATAATATTTATGCTTTTAGTTATAACACCTTATAACCTACACATCTTTGTGTGGGTCACAAAAAGCTTCACACATGAAAGCTCATTCCAGTTGGAGCTCTACAGCCTGCATAAACGGGCATCACACCCCCAAGTTGTTGTGCTCAGTGTAAAGGAATGTGAGGTCATTAAAAACAGCCCATGTTTTCCCCTTTCTTTCTTTAACCCTTCTCTAGCAATCTGCTATATTTTTGGTCCTCAAACCATCTCTGTCTTTATTACTAAGATCATTTGACAGCCTTCACATATAGAAGAGACATTTCTAGAGTTTTCATACAAATCAGTTACTAAGGAGACCATTTCCTTAAATCTTTTCGTTTCTTGACGGAAGGGCTGCAGTATGGAACATAGTGGTAGCTCTCTTTTACGTGAATACACCTATAAAAATATAGCTGAGAAGTTTAAATTTGCTGAGTTTTGGAGAGATGCTTGGTTAGAATTTTGTGACTCTTTGAGATCTCATAGTTCTCTCATTTCTACTTAAGCCTCTTTTCCATTTCCCAGGGATTCCTTTCTGCTAAAGGCCAAGGAAGTTTTCCTTCTCTAAAAAGTAACATCATTTGACTCACAAATGTAACATTGAGCAAAATAAGTCAGACACACAAAAAACCATGTGATTCTAAAGTTCAAAAGCAGACAGAACTCATCTACGGTGTGAGAACCCAGGCTTGTTACCCTTGGTGGGGAGTGGTGGGGCAGCGAGAGTGGGGCTTTTTGGTCCTGGTTGTGATCTCATGAGTAGGATGCTGAATTCTTGACCTGTAGAAACAGACCAGTGGTCTGGTATTTAAGATGGACTTTCCCGTCAAACAATGAACATTTAAAATAACACTTGACTTCATACAGATTAAAGTTACAGTGAGTTTTGAACCAGGGCACATGTTACTGATTTCCCACCGAAGTGCCAATGGCCAGGAGAGCGAATATGGATCTCCAGGGGTCCAGGGGCCCAGGGGCCCAGGGGCAGTAGAGATTATAAACTCTAAACGCAAAATGCCTCTAGATTTCATATTTGGTTTTTAAAAAGTTCCATAAACCTTTACTTTCTATTTCGTGTTATCTGGGTTTGTTTGAATAGGAGGAACAGTAGATTTAAAACACCGTTTCTCATATTCAGACAAACCCTAATTAAATATTAAAGGAAAATGAACCCTCTGGGAAGACACACCATGTGTACACTCTGGAGAGAGAGCACCCTAGTTTGAGAAGGCTGACTTGTTGTTTTCCTGATGTTGCCCTTTGTGTTATGTAATGTTACAATGGAAAGAGTACCAGACTGTGAATGAGAAGACCTGGATTTTAATCTTGACTCTGCCAGCTCCAGCTGTGTGATCCTGGGAAAGTCACTTAATTTCTCGGAGGCTCGATTTTGTTATTTATAATCTGGGCAACATAACAAGTACCCAGTGGGTGGAGGTCCTTATGGGATCAAATGCAGAAGTATGTGTCATGTTGCCACTCACACTTGTAGAATAAAGCTGGATCCACTGTTTTGATCTCTGATGGAGAACAACTGGTGAGGTGGGCTATGGAGAAAAGGCCATCCGAAAGCGCTTGCCCGAGGGTATTGTGTGTGCATTAACTTGAAAGTCCTGAGCAAAATGCTGCTGCTTTCACTGCAGCCTGTTGAGAACAACCGCCTGCCATCAACTTGCTATTTCTTTGTGCTGCTGTTACCTGGTATGTTTAAGCAATGAAACAGCTGCTGCGTTTCAATAGACAAAGGCTTACAGTATGTCTGAGGAAGGCATTTATTGCTGGCTTTAAACTTCTTAAACAATTCCATATGGAGACATGAGTGGCAGAACACTTAATGTAAACTTTCAAAGGAAACTGCCCACCAAATTCTGAACTTCGTGAAAGTTGGCTGGAACAGATTCTTTTTTCAGAAGGCAGAGTAGCCATTGCCATCTCAGAGAGAAAGGGCCCCAGCGCTGCTTTGATAGTGGCAGTCACAGAGACAGGACCCCATTTAAGGCACATGGTTGTTCTGGAGGAGCAACTGTCATCTTCTGCCTGAAGCCAGTTATGGAAGCAGCACGGTGGAGTGGATGGAAGTGAAAATGAGGAATCAAAGTGATCATTTTCTAGTTGTGAATGCTGATCATTTCTTGTGCTCAAAGATCTCTTTACTTTAAATCAAGTAAAAACTCAACATGCATGCATGACACACTGCTGGGTGGGCACCACGTTCCTGTTCCTTGTACTCTGCAGGGTGTTTCTGGACTGAACAAAAAAGGCTCAGACCTTCTGTACAATAAGGTGCCATGAGAATATGAGAACAGTTTTTAAAAATGGATTTATATTTTTACATACAGAATGACCTCCTTGATTTAAAAATATTTAGTATGAAATATAAAACTGCATTTTTTACATATACAGTAAGAAAGTGGGTAATACTCAAAGAAAAGCAGTCACCCTAAAAGCATTTTCTGGTAGAAACACAAAGTAAATTTCAAACAAGATGACTATAACTTCTTAAGAACACTGCATTATATGATGTTTTGCTTTCTCCACATTCCTGCTAGTCTCCACTTCAAGGTTAGACCTGGGAAACCAGGTCTTAACTGGCATTTTTCTCATGTGAGGTCTCTCTCAGACAACTGGCAGAGCTTGACCTTCATAATACTCTGTTGGTGGGGTTTGGGTAGGGGTTAGTCATTTCATTAATGCAAGCCAACACACCAGGGACACTGGGGGCAATTACCCTTGCGGTTCGTGTGTGTGTATGTGTGTGTGTGTGTGGGTGTGTGTGTTTCTTGAGGTGAAAGTAGGATAGATTTGCAATATGGTCTTTCTTTTTTCCCTTTAACTAATTTGTGCCAAGCTGCTCCTCACAGCGATAGACAGGAAGTGCTATTTCCTGTGCTGATGATTTAATATAGTGCAGAGCAAAGCAGTGTTTGAACTGATGGCAGCACTAATGACTCTCGGTAAAATAGTGAAAAGATAAATGATACTTAATCAGGAAGATGTTTAAATAAGCAAGGGTTTGGATATACCCGGCAAAACAACCTGAACTCATTTAAGTAAAGTTAAGAGGGTAATTTAAAAAATATACAGACTGTTTGTTTAATACTTTGTATTTTTCAAAATGGCATATAGTCACATTTATTATGTTCTCTGGCAATTCTGTGAAGCAGCTCAGTGTACTTACTGTAGAAATGACTGAATTCAACTAAGAGGAGCCAGTAAACTTGCTTCAGGTCCCATAGCACAAAGCAAACTTGAGAGAAAGTTCATAGTTTCTAAATTCCTCGTATGTCTCTTATGCTGCCGGTATTTCAAAGCATCCTACTACTCTTGCTTAAATACACCAAGTACGTATAAAGATAAAGTTAGTTAAAAAGGAGATTGGTCCCATGAGTGCCTGGGGCTTCTTACAGTCAAGGAATGTACAGATCATGAACAACAAATGGGTTGCCATATTGACAATACAGTTTTGGAAGGAATCTTGAAATATGGATAAAAGGCAGCCATATTAGTTTTCTGCAATTTTAGTTTTCATAGTTCTTCCATATATACTGTTTTGTGGAACAAATCCCTAAACTGAGTACTTTTTCTATGATTAGTGTTTTACATATGAGAGAACAGATGCAAAGAAGGTTAGTGATTTCTTTTAGGTCAACAAAGTCTATAGCAAAACCAGGTTTGGAACCCGGTTTCTCCTGAATTCTAATGTGGGCCTCTTTTCACTACTTTGCCATCTAATTTTTATTTGTTGCAAGCAAATGCTCATAATATAAAACATCCCAGTAAAGCATAGCCTATCTAAGAGGTAAATTCACAAATAACTTGTGATATTATATGTACTTTAACAAAGTAGCTATAATAACCAAATCAGACCACATAATTTAAGTATCCTATCTGACTACTATAAAAAGAGCCATGAAACGGGAGAGATTCTATCCACTATAGATCAATTAATGGCTGGCCCAGCAGGACACTTGGAGATTTGTTCAAAGTTATATCTTCCTTAGCTTAGAAAAGGAAAGCTGACTGACTTAGTCTCCAAAGGGAGAGGTGAAAAGCCCCTACCAGGTTAAAATAGCATTCCATCATTTTTAGAAGGTGAAAATAATCATATTAACATATTGTGTGCATGTCTGCGTGGGTGTAAAGAATAAGTATCTTTTGTCTCTAATCTCAAAGTCTAGGAGCCAGGGCATCTGGTTTTATTGCTGGCTTTGCAACTAATTTATGCCCTGGCCATAGCTGTGGTATTTCTGCTCTGCTTTATTGAAAGCAAATTCACACCCTTCTAGAGGAGATAGTCAACAGGGGATACCATGGTGCTGGAACTAGTAGTTTTACACTTTCTTTCCTAAGTTATCTTTCACTGATCAGTCCCTTACCATTTGTAATGGAAAATGATGAACCTGGGTAATGGGACTTCAACCATCCAGAAAATATCACAAAGAACCTGAAGGGAATGTAAGCAATTTCCACACTAGGATGGGTTAGAAGTTAAAATGAAGTAGATTAGAGTCACTTACATTATTGATCATAAGGTGCATTATCGTTTTTGGAATTAAATCTCGGATACATTTGTTGATAATAGACATGTAGGAGTCCACGAGGTTGCGAATGGTCTCCACTTGCCTCTCCAGTTGTGGGTCCATGGAAAAGTTTTCTGCTTGGCCATTCTCATCATTTTCAGTCTAACAGAAAGGGAAGAAAACATGGGTTATTTAATATTTGTTCAGAAGGAAAATACCAGATATTATTGATGATCAGCTTCTGCTTCCTATATTTGGAGTTGTGCTACTAGAGAGTAACTTTATCTTATTGAACATCCATTAATTCTGAAAAGAGATCACAACCGTGTAATTATCATCCCACTTTAAGCTTACCAAATACAGGAAAAGCAAGTATTCTAATCCTGAATGAATGTTGAGGTGAATAACCAGATAAACAGTATACCTAACGACATACCCCTAGAGAACAATCTAATCTTAAACCATTCTCAAGCTTGTCAAAAAACTGAGTCCAAACATAGGATGTAGATGTCAATCTCTGGGAGGGGTATCCTGGGATGCTATAGATTAGAAATAACCTTGGTGTTGTTCTGGAGCTCCTAGGTCTGCTCTGGAATGGATCAGCATTTGGATCAGCCCAGATTTAATATGAAATCTCCTAGGCCTGGCCTGCAGCCAAAATAAGAGATATAGAGGACAATTCATTTTTCCATGCACTTGCTGGAATTTGTTATGTAAATTCTTGCTTCTGTCATCACTACTAAAGGTTGGCTCCATTGTGAAAAAGTTACAATTTTAACTTTCAACTTGTTATTCTTTGAATAAAACAGAGCACATCTATACACAAAGAATTTATTTGTGCAACATGAGAGAAGCATCTGTTTTCTATACTATGGAACTTGAGTTAATTAATTCTGGCTTATCCACCAAAGGCTGGGCTGCAACGGCATCTTCATCATTAAGGGCTGACCTGTTGGCTTGCCCTTGAAATCAATTTAGAACAAATGGTCTCCATTTCAAGTCAGTTGAACCATCTAAGACCCAGAATATGATACAAATATTGCTAGTGGTCTGGCCACTTTCTAACATTTGGAAGGATTTAATTATGAATGCAAAAAGGGGGGTGGATTATTTATTGCTTCCAATGTGGACATGAAATGCTTTTCTTTGGAAATGTACATACTTGTTCTGCCAGGTTTTCAGTCATCCAATCACAAGTCCAGTCAAAGCACTGTGCTAAATAGCTTAAATGAATCTATAAATTACATTCTTTTCTTTTGAGTCAATATGCATGTGTGAAACACATATTACAGGCCACAGAATCAACAGTAACAAAGACAGAAATTAGTTCTAATAATGTATATAAGTTTCTCTTGCTCAGAAGTATTCAACACTTAAAAAATATTAAAATAATATATATGCTCACTCTAAAACACAACAGTCTTTTTCCAATTCTGATCATGGTCCCCTACATAAGGATGACAGAGGACATTTCTGAGGCATCTTATTGCTACTACAGCAAGAGAACTGGAGGTTTAACAAATGACAGTTGTTGTTCTATACCATTTCTTTCTAAATGGTCTTTGGTTGCTGAAAGAAAGAATTAAATGAAGTCCAAGGTAATTATTTATTTTTGCTATTTATTTGTGATATAAACACAATAGAATCTTTTGATAAATAGGTAAAAAGCTAAGGCCATGAAGTGGTCAAGTGACAGAGGAAAGGTCAGCCCTGGTGGTGAAAAAAATAATAGTGTTCCCAAACTTCCTTCTGGGGCATAAAAAACACTGCAAATATGCTTCATTCTGGGCTCAAATGCTAAGAATCAGTGGTAACTGTGATGTTGTTTTAAGGGTATTGTCTTTGAAAGTAAAAACTTTAGGTTGAAATTCAGACTTTATCATATATTGGTTGTGTGGCCACACTTTGGTTACTTAATGTAAATGAGACTCAGCTTCTGCATCTTTCAAGTGGGTGTTTCCTTCCCTGAAAAACTTGCGGAAGCTAAATGAGATGATGTATATGAAATGACCTAACCAAAAGCCTTGTGGGTGCTCAATAAATGTTAGTTTCTTTCTTTCCTTTCTGAACAATCATTGGAATAAAATTTAGAGAGCTGCCTGTCTCTCAATACACATGAAAATATAAGATGAAAAACCTGAGCATAAATCATTTTCAATCCAAGCAATAGAAAAATGGCAAGCTATTTTCTTTTACAATTCCATGCTTTCTGCAAGCTAGTGCCCTTGCCTGGAAGCTCCCCCTCCCATCTGTGAAGACCTTTCCTCTTTCGAAGTCCTGCTTCACCGTCACCTCCTCCAGACAAGCTCCCGACGGCCTTCAGACCCTCCAACACTCCCCTTTCTATACACTGTCTGTGTTCTGTACTCACTTTTATTATTTAATATCCAGCCTAGTGTTATGCTTTTCCCCCTATTAGACTCTGGGGTCACGTTCATCTCTCCCTTCTCAGCACCTAGCAAGAGCTTGATGCAGAAAAGGAGGAGGAGGAGGGGATAACACTACCAGAAGAAGCTGCCGCAGTGCATCTGGGGGTCTCCAAGAGTGCCTCCTTCTAGAGAAAATGGAGACCAGAGAAATCCCAAGTCGATGAATTAGGATACACTACTTGATAACAGTGAGAATGATAAAATGATTATGAAATTATGTATGTTAATGAGAACAGATGACCTACAGCTTTGTGAGGAAAACATCTTTTACATAAAGCAATATAAAACTCCATAATGGATATACTATAATTCAGCTTATCTCTCTGATCTAAAACATACTGGGATTTGGCTATTGCATTTAACAGTAATGGGTAATGGTACTTCAGCATCAACATATTGCCTCTCCCAGGGACATGTATTGAGCACCTACTGTGTTTAGAACAAGCACTTTGCATAGAAAATCCATACCACAACCTTAGGAGATGGGCACCATGGTTATTGTCAACCTACAGAAGGGCATGTTGAAGCTCTGAGAGTGGAAATTTGTTCAGTAAATGTAAGATTAATATCAATGTTAAACCAATTTCTTTTTTTTTTCCTTAAGTATTAAAAAAAACCAGGAAGTATTATGAAATACTGAACTATCCATACTATGTCAGGTAAGTTTCACAGATAAAACAATAAATATAGAAAGTTTCTAGGAAAAAGATGTTATTGAAGTACTGATATTTATAAAAAATAAGTGATGCAACCAAAAGAGAAAAGCAGAATAAATAGTATTTATTAAAGAACGTCTAGGAATATGAAACACCAGGAAAATTATACCACTATCCACATTTACATATAGAAACACTGAATTTACCCATGTCACACTTTTCTTAACAAAGAGCTTGCTTTACATTTTGCATATCAAAATATGCAAAAGATACTGACTTCCACTTTCTGAAACAAGATACAATTAATAAGCAATGTGTCAGAAAGAATGGAGAACACTGAACAGTTTAATCCTCAACATTGAAAAAAAAAAAAGTGTTCCAGAATAACCAGCAAAACAATTTGAAATTCTCTTTAGCTTTTGGAAATTCTAGTAGACACGTGGTCACATGCAAATCCTAACTAGCCTGATAACACCAAGGACATAATGAGGAGTCATAGAATTCATGCACATTTAATGTCTTCTCTGATTTTAGAAGGAAGGAGTAGTTGCCCCTTCTAATATGTCCAATATGAATGGGACAAATATACATAGATGCAAATGCTCCCTTTTCTCTAAACCCAGCTCTAACCAAATTCTCTATTGTGCTCTTTTCTGTATGTATACTGTGACTATGCATTTTTTCTTTGTTTAAATTATAGGATTGCAATAGGATTCTTTGCAGTCTAAGCACTGAAGTGACAGCTGTTTATCATTATCCTCATCAAGTGAATGTAAAATAAAAAGAGTAATTTGTCTCTGATCTTTGAGGCAAAAAAGAATGGTCTGCAAACATTTAACCTTTTATGTGCAGGTTCATTGATGCTGTTTACAAAATGTGAATAATATTGTGAAAGCCAGCTTTCTTCTGAAAAATAAAATGGACAGGCCTTCCTATTGCAATTTTTTGCAAAATGGTATTTGAGAAATCTAATGCACTTTAAACAATCAAAAATAACAGCTCAGCACTATAAAGTGTAAAAATTAATATCATAAGTTTTTATGAAGCTATTTACACAGTATTCAAGAAATAGACTGTATTTACACAGTATTCAAGAAATAGACTGTTTTACAAAATATGAATTTAAAAGCCTTCTCCAAAAGACTTAATACTTTAACAGGTAAGAGAATAAAATAATCGATTCCGAAATAATTTCCACCATACCTTAAAGCATCCATTATAGAAGCTCTGGATTTGACCAGAATGTCTATTTTACATGTGTTTGCCTTCCTTTCCTCAAATCTCTTATTTAATTACATCATAGGCTTCTTTGAGGATCACTGAAGTCATCTGAATAAGGCTAGTGATTGTAACTCCTTAAAAGTAGAATAATAGAAATCCAAAGTACCCTGACAATAATATGTACACAAACATACTATAGAACTAATATGTGTGCCTGGGGTATGGAGGTTTGCTGCATCTCTTCTCACCAGTGAAGAGCAGTGGATGATAATCTACAGATCTACACAAGTGATTTTTCCAGGTAACCAATGCCTGCCCCCTTTTCGGTGCCTTATTATTGTTATACAAATCTCTGTTACCTTAAAGAGCAGAAAATATAATTTAACTTTCCTTAGTGAAGCCGGTCATTATGGAAATACTGTTACCATGGCAATGCAGCTTTGGATTTTCCAGCTCCACATTGCCAAGAATATTTCACTGAAAACCTTTCCCCACTCCCAGTCATGCACTTCTAATTTGCAGAGGCTGGGAGGGCAGGCAACCAAAATTGTAAAAAACGATGGGAGAAACATGCTCAGCAAAGCCTTTGAGTCTAGACTATAGGCTGGCGCTTTGTGACTGGTATTTCATTCATTAGTTCAACAAATATTTATTTAGTGTCTCAGGTGGACTGTGAGAGATACAAAGGAAGTCTAAAACCTCAGGCTTTGCTCATGAGATTATTCCCTGGCAGGGAGGATGTGGTATGGTATGAGTCAATGATTCAAATGAGCTCAAGCACAGCAGGCTTCAAGGGGAGTCTTTAATGAGGACAACACTTGGGATGAACCTTAAAAGTTGAGTGATAAGTTACAGC